GGCAACCTGCTTTTCTCTCTCCTGCTTCTCCTTCGAAATCATCGAATTCGAAATCCCAGATTTCACCATCTTCTTCTTCTTGCCACCCTTTTTCCCCGGATTCTTAAACATCCGACGACTCTCAAACGGGTCATTTTTAACCCGTTTCTTCATCTTGCGCACATGGGTCAAACCCAGAACCCGAAACAAAATCTCAGGAAAATCCTTGAAATACCCAAAATCAGCAAAACTGGGAAGATTACACGCAAGAGTTTTGGGATGATTTTTATGGAGCCAAAACGCAGCAGTGTAAAACCCATTTTTGTCAGATTTTCCAGTACCTCGAACACCACGAAGATTACAGATGAGTTTCAGGGTGGACAACGGATTGTGGGCCCAAGCGAGATCGAGCCGTTGAGTCAACGAATCGGCGGGTGTGCCGGGGACCACGTGGAAGAAGAGGTCAAGACATGGGTTGCCGGAGGAAAGGAAGGTGGCGGAGCAGTTCTCGGTGAACCCCATTAATGGCTGATGTTGTGGTGGTTGATTTAGGTTGTTGAAATTCGCCACCATTGCATCGACGAATGGGTCGCCGGAGCCGCCGTCTGCGGCGGCGGAAGAGGGTGGGGGGGTTTGGGGGAGTGGTGGGCCGGTGAGAAATGATGGGGACATTTTTGATGAGGTGATGAGAGGGTTTGGAGTGAATGGGAATTTTTATAGGGATTTGTGACTTTGTGACTGTGTTTAGGCTTGGAGGCCACGTTTTTTTTGAGTCGGTTTAATTTTAATTTTAATATTTATCTTATTGATTAAGGAAAATTAAAATGGAAATATGGGTTTAAGGAAGCTTCCTGTCATTTTCTGAAAAAAAAAACATACGAAATAAAATTAAAGTTTGTGACGTGTGTTGAATTGTTTTTGGGTGTTTAGAGAGCCACAAGGGCGGGGAATGAGAATCGATTCCAAGATCTCTTGAAATTGGAAGGGGAGCTCTAACCACTTGAGCTATCCCTCATTGTTGAATTGTTGATGCTTGGGCACCCAGAATTATTCAAGGGGAGTTTGAAGAAATGGAAGGAATTGGACTTTTATATGGGTTTTTGGTTTGATTGGAAAAGTATTGGGCTTATGTGTGGTCCATTAAAGTTTGTATACCGTTTTTGAATTTATGTTTAGTAAATCTGAACTTTCAAAGAATTTTTTTTCCAAGGATGAGAAGAAGATGATGAAAAAAAAGGCATACCATGAGATCAATTTATCTCGAGCTGGTGAAACTTGTGAAACAGACAATAGTGAAGCTGCATGACACATGGATTTCAAGATTTCGGTACTTTCGGGCACGTTCAACATTAGATCTGACAATCCTGATCTGACCAACGACCCGTAATCATTGATAAAAAAAAATTGACTTGAACCCGAACTAATCTGGCCCGATTTAACCCAAATTGATTCACCCGAATGACTCAAAACTCAAAATTGACCCGACACGAACTCAATCCGAAATGTTGACCCAAATTTGACATGAACTGACTCAACCTGGAGTTGACCTGACCCAAACTCAACCCGAAGTATTGACCAAAAATCCGACCAGAACCCGACCTTTATATTTGTTGACCCGAATGACCCATTTGTCAGGTCTATTCAACATCATTACCAAATTTCCAATTACTTCCTTCGTTTCTATTTTGTTGACGCGATTAATTTAGGCACACATATTAAGTAGAGGAGAGAAAATAATAAAGCGAGTGGGGTACACTAGTAAATGCAAGGTATAAAACTTACCCAAAAAAGAAAAGTGACAACTAAAAATAAACTTCCTAAAAACAAATACTTGTCAACTAAAAAATACGGAGGTAAGTATTAAGTTTTAAGATTTTTATTGTGTGATGTAGGTTGTATGATGACCTTAAAAATAACCATATTAATACAAATCAGGTTCATTTTGAAAACTTACAATAAAAAAAAAGTGAAAAATGAACAAGTTCAAGAAATATAAATGAGTAAACTTTGATCATGGAACTTGTAACTCTAAGGTTCTGTTCTCATTAACTGAACTCAGCTGAACTGAACTGAACTGAGCTGAGCTGAACTGAACTGAAATGAATATTATATAAGAGAAGGAAATTAGGAGTTGAACTGAACTGAACTGAACTGAATTTCAACGTAAAGAGAACAGGCCTTAACTCCCTCCTTGTTAAAATTAGATGAATTTGCCTAGGTTATCCTAATGAAGGAAACTGACTCTATAAGGTTGCAATATTCTTCAGCAAATTTTCCTAGGTTATGCAATAAAATATACAGTAGAAAAATGAAAGGTTATTTATTGAATTTACATAATACTATCTCTAATTTTTTTTGGTTGCAACTTTAGAATATTTTATATCTCTCAAATAATACCCCAAAGTCGCAACTAAAAAAAATCAGAGGTAGTATATCTTTTATGATCAAATTCAGTCCATTGTGTGCATCCCACACCCATCAGATGATATTGTATTAATGGTTAAGAGTGGTTTGATTATAAAATTGCCTTCAACTTTTAGGAAATTGCCTCTAGTCTGCAAAAGAGCATTACAAACAGGAGCAATGATGATTTACGCCTCAGAAAACTGGAAAGAAGTGAAAAGATGAGGGATTAATCATTTTAAAACAAATATTCTAAGGGAAAAGGAATTTCAAAAGAGAGATTAAAAAGATTAATGACATCCCAAGCATTGTAAAACTCAGAATAGAATGAGCAAACTTTTTATTAAATTTGCCATGTATATGAAAAATTACAACAATATACACATTTATGGGATTAAATGGAAGATGTTAATGACCCTCCTGGCAAAAAAATCTAACCTTGTATATGACTTCTGCTAAATTAGATCATTTATCCAGAAAAGCAAAGAGCCTATAATGTAATCAATGACTAACAACTACTCTATCCAGTAAATAAAATCTTTACAATTGAGAGACTTTCTGTTATCAAGTTGATAAAAAATCTACAAGAACCTACATTCCTGTGTTAAACCCAGCTTAGAAGCGCGTTACTTTCTTGCTGGGGTGCATAGAAGGCGAAAACATCTTCTCTTTTCCCCTTGACTAGACCTTTCCATCAGAAGAAGGCATAATTTTCCGAGTTTGTGCCATTGAGGATGACAAAGTATTTACAGAATTTTTCCCTTTTGAAGGAGCCGAAGAATGGAAAGGAAATCTTTTAGGAAGCATCTGATCAAAGATTGCCTTTGGCAATCTCGATGACTCAGAGATGACAGAGAAAGAAAGAAGTAAGCTGATGATGAAGCAACTCTGCAACAAAGAGCCTGACATATTTGTTGAAATTCCTTGAAAATTCTCAGTTACTTTCAAAAGCTTCGAGTGGACTGCAGTTTTATTGTGGCTTCAGAAAGTTTGTGATAGCAGACAGAGGTGAGCATTGTATGGAAGTTGCCAACTAGTTTGTTCAAGGAAAGATATGACAGTGGCAGACAATGCACCATTAGATTAATGGTTTGTGCATGAAAAAGTTAAGGTCCCCTGAAGGATATAGCGCGAATTTAATAATCAAACTGGACCCTTGAAAGAATTTTTCACAATTAATCTAAGAAAATCTTTGCTGTCAGATTATTAAAAGCAATTTAGTCACCACTTGCTACAAATGAGGATACTTATAGCCACAACATTAAAAAGTTCATTACTTATAACTGTCATCAGAACTTAATTAGTAATATCAGTTGCTGAAAATGTTATCCAATAAAAATAATTGGGGCATATGCATTTTTCTCTAAGCTCTAGTTATGATGTTCCTAATAATACAGGGAAAAAAATAATTTAGAAAAGAATATAATGATTTGGAAAACTTGCATACAACTAAAATCAGCAAATGGATAATTGGAATCGGTATTGGTAAAGGTCATATTCGGGTTATGAGTTAATTAGTACAGTTTCGAATGGGTCATTTGTCATTTACCCTAGGCCAGTAAAAAAAAAACATTTTACAATTTTGTCGGGTCAGATTTACATACAAGTATACAACGATTATATTTGTATATGTCACACAAATTTCACAAAATATTATCTTAAATCACATAAAAGTCACCCATTTTTGGGTAAAAAAAAAAAAAAAAAGTCACCCATTTACTTTAAAGGTCACTAAAAAAATTCGCATTATAGTTCATAAAAAGTCACCAGTCTTGCACAAGACCTGCAGGCTGCTTATAATGATTAATGTCATACCATCAAAATTAATTTTTGCTTTTCAAATTCAAGTATGACAATGAGAATGATAACATGAAGCAATATGAATGGCAGAAATTGGGGAATCTTGTTTAAAGCAAAGGCTATTGATATAATCCTAATTAGCCTCGCGGTTAGAAGAGCCCTACCTACACTCGTGCGTCATTAATATTATAATCAACAATTAATCATGATTACATGAGAAGTGTTGTTATTGTTTCATTATTTACAAATTCATGGATTGAAAAAGGACAGACAAACTTCACTTTAAGCTTCTCTTTTGTTTTCCGTTTCTCCAGCATCATAACTATGTTTATTTAAACGTACAACTAAAGATAATGAATTTGGCTATTAGTAGCTTATAGAGACAGTATAACATGAGTATTATTATACTTGACAGGTTTTGTTACAAGAAACCCCTAGTCTATATTTGGTAGAAATAGCTAGGAAGCCTAAAAATTAGTAGTGAAACATGCACTCCCACTTTCCATTTGGCAGTTTCGCAAACGTTGATTCACACCGAAGATCAAATCATAGTAAAAGTAATAGCTTTTGTGCGACTGGGAACACCTATGTTATTTTGTGCGACCAACTTGTTTTGGGGTGACTTGTTATATTGGTGACGGATAACCAGCGTTACAAGAATTAGGTGAGATCAGCCGGTCTGAAATCTAGCCGATATATCAAAGACCACAAGTTCTATACTATTGTGCTATTAACATTGGTCCCCCCCCCCCCTCCCTAAATACAAGTATATTACTGGAAATTAAAACTATTGGTTAAGCTTAAAGAATGTCGGGCAAAAGCCTTTCGACGTATTGGAAAGATACACATTACAACCCTTATCTTGGTGGGAGTTTTTTTTTCTTCCCAAAAGTGGTCACACCAGCAGAAAGTGAACAAATCAGGCAAAGAGGAACGCTCTCAGCAACCTGAACAAACCTGATTGATGCGAAAAAAGGTTTAATCTATCAAACTATGTGACCTTTTATTCGTGTAATGAGGTACTACCTACCTATTTCAGATGCTAAATGAAGTACTGTAACACAACTTTTCAGTTTGCATAAACATAAGATGTTCTTATGTGAAGAGGCCAACAGAAGCTCCCAAAAAACCGGCATATATAAGTAATATGTATATGTTTTTTAGGTGGGGTTTTTGATGTCCCATTCAATTTTGACTATTATCTAAATTCTAAAGCTAACATATTTTGCACAAACAGAATAATCCAGCACGAACCTTATTGCTCATAGAGTGTCGCCTTATTTTGGATGCAGGAAAAATAAGGAACTATAACAGTTAAAGAATGACACGGGGACTTACATGGTTCACTAACAACGTGTTAGCTACATTTGATATCAGGGGAGAATGATTTGATCAGGTTTTAAGGAGTTCTATGCACAAAATATATAACAACTAGTTACACCACTCACAGAATATAGACCAGCAAGACCCCTGTGCTGCGCCGTAAGGTTGTTCACTTGTTCATAGTTCCAGATTCAAGGCATCCCATCATTACCTATTCATGTATACTGTAATCATTTAGCATAAATAAGTTATCAGATCACTTAAATCATGACTATCTCACTATCTCAGAAACAAGAATAGAATCTTATCAATATAATCCATATTATTAAGAAAGGAAAAGGGGAGAAAAAAATGGCCAATGCATTGTTAAATTAAACTTGAGAGGGTCCAAAGAAAAATAGGAACAGCATTACTTAGGTTCATCTTTTGAGACATTCCTGTGAAAATCCTGACACTGCCATCTATCCATGTATCTATATGTTCTAGAAAGAGAGAGCAGCGCAACTATATGTTACTTTATTAATCATACATTATCAAAGGTTCATGATGCCTAAATGAGTCCCAAAATGCTCTTTCAAACCCTTTTAAAGTCATCTTCCCTGCATTCAAGACTCAAAGTTTATTTTATCTTATGGTAGCCAAAACAACTTTACTTTGAGAGTTTCCAGGAAACACAACCACTGATTCAGGTAACCAAAGTCAAACTCAGCGACAATAGTCATACAAAATGTTCCAAGGTGTTGCACTCGGCCATCCTTATGAATTCTATGGATGTTTTTTGGTCAGAGTATCAAGTATCTGAATAATCTGATGTGCTATTTAAGGTAAGGGTATGAATAACACAGTATGGTTTTAACTTCTGATTTTGTATTTAGATATATCTGCTAAAACTAAAAAAAAGTATACAAGTGTTGGATACACTCTTGTGGTTCTTTTGTTTTGTGATTTCCAGATGCAGCTTAGCTGTTCCTGCAGTTTCTGATACGTCTACCATCAACGATCACTTGCAATCACAGTTTCTGATTCAAAGAGCTAATAAAAAAAAGTTGAAGTGTAGCAGAGATTGAGAACAGACTAAATCAGTATGAAAGATTCAGTTGCTCTAGTAATCTAATCAGTTATCAGTATTGCAGTTCAAGCAAGACAGAGCAACTCATCTTGAAGGAAATTCACAAGACTGTTCTATTGTTCTTATTACATTTCCTTCTAAATACCATAATCTTGGTTTCTCTAAAGCAATTCGTGAATTTTACTGTCAAATTTACAAGAAAACCACAGGTATTCTGTCACCTAGCTACTTGCCATGACCTTTTTTTTTTCCAAGGAAAACCTTTTAGTTAAACATTCTCAACTCAAATCTTAAATGCCCTAAATAACATAGATGGAATCCCTAAATAACTAAACAAGTAGTGAGAGAAAGTCCCTCAAAGTGGATGCCAATTAGCTTAATTAGTTAAATATTTTAAGAGATCAAATTATGTTTACATCACTTGCCCAAAGTGGTTCTCCTAACACCAAAAATAAATAAATAATGAAACTTTATAAACAATAATTGGACTCTTTGAAATAGCTTGCAACTCAATCCCCCCCCCCAAAAAAAAAAAAAAAAGAAAGAAAACATTAAACGCTGATGTTGATGTATTATCAACAAAACAATGCTTCTAAACTAATATAAGGATAAGGAATACCTATTCAGAACAACATATAGTCTCGAACTATGAGAACCAGTGCATCAAAGCTAAGCTATGGCTGGTGTAATAGTTTCTACATCGAGGGATGCCATGTTGTCTTCTGAACACAGAGCAATACTTCAAGATATTTTGAAAAGGTGAACCTGATCTTCCACTGTAAGGATTTGGTCCTGATGTCCACCTCAGCTATGGTTTCAGCAATGTCTCTCACTACTGGACTTCCTTCTGGCCTTTAGGATTTTGTCAACTTCTGCCATTACTGCCACAAACTTACACCTGAACAGAATAGTTCACTTACAAATCTTACCAGATGAAGGCATCTTTTTTTTATTTTTTTTATTTTTTTTTAAGAGCTGTGATGAATATAGGATAACTTTACAAACCTTTTCTTGAGAGCAGAGAAAAGATGGTCAGTATGAAGTCATAAGTTCTTGGACAAGTACTGAATCACTTTGTACCAATCATGATATATTCCAAATAAACCTCATTGACATATAATCAGCATGACATAGCAGGAACTTACATTCATCACCCACAATTTCATGTCCTTAAAGGCTGCAGCAAATCTGTAATGAAAAGTGCAATGCTGATGACATCCTTGCAAAAAAACTTCATTTTCTGCTTACCAACAGTAAAATATTACAAGACAGGCATGAAACTCAAAAACCAAATCACTAGTAGCATTTAGAAATGATCTTTCTTCAGAGTGCAAAGCTTGTTATGGAGTGTTCTTTGACCTTGAAAGACTTAAGTTTCGGTACACTTCAAATCAGCACAATTATTGCAAAATTAAAAGCAATAAGTTCAATTCAGTTCAGAAAGCCTATATTTTAATATCAGTATATAATTAAACTACTAATTACTACTATAAATTTTAAGCAATCTGGAGTATATGTCACAAAGGGTTCCATATATATACTCCCTCCAATCCTGAATAATTGACATGATCAAACTTGGCACACATGCCAACATACTACTTTGAATTTAGATATATATGATTAAATATCAATGAAAAATATAAAAAAATATTAAAAAAATTTGATGTAATGAAACTTTATATTAATAACTATTTAACAATATATTTCATGAGTCATGACAATTTATATTTTATACGTTTCTAAAAAAAACGTTATTATATGTCTATGCTTTATTTGATACCAGTAAGGCAGTAAATCTGCGAATTTCCACCGTAAATTTATTTTATCCATATTACAGCTCCAATGTACACTCACTAGTCCATGTTTCACCCTTCACTCAAATTATCATTAAGAGTTTCTGCCTTAAGAGACATTTCATTGACCAAAAAGCTTACCCTCCGTCGTCTCATCTGGTATGGCTGTCACATATATCACAGGAGACCAGTCAATGTCGATACCATCCATATATGATTTGATATCGGCGTTGTAAAAGGATCTGTTGTGTATGCAGCTATGCATGATTGCAATTGTATTTTCTGAAAAGGAGATGTTTAGTAAATGTATTCAATAATATCAACTTTTTAAGGGCAATGAAAAAAGGGAGTTGGTAAAACAAACAAACAAATAAATTTAAGATCAAGAATGTACCCTTAATCCACCCCCTCCCCCCGGGCCCTCCTCTGCAGGCTGCAGCCTGAGTAAATAACAAAGATAACATGCCCTACCTAAAGGGCAGAGAAAATGGAAGAATTGTCAAGTCTTTGGTTCATCATTCTACAATATTACTCCAATTAAAAAAGTGGGACAGCATAATATCCACAATTAAACAAATGCTACATTCCCAGTGGAGAAAAATATACTTTCAATAAGTCATATTAAATCAATAACTTACTATTGTTTGTTTGTTTTGTGTCTGTGTTATCAACTCCCTGTCTCTTTCATGTCTCCAGTGAACTGTTGCGACTCTGTGAGACGATGATCTAGATGTGTTTATAGAAGAGTTTTGGAAGAGCGCTTCTGCACTTGAAAATGAAGATGCCAGAAAATAAAAGTGCATTCAATAATATATACATTTAGCCTACAACTACACAAGTTCCAACAAAAAGACTCCGGAGCAGCACCTAAACAATTTGAGACCTCTCAATCATGGCAGCATGACTGCCTTCAACCCCATTGTGATTGAGGGGGAATAATATAAGAGTCATCAGCTTCCAAAGTTCCTTTCATATTCTTATTTTCTGTCCAGCTATAGCCTGCATCCTTACCCACATTATTATCACTCATGAGCTCTCTGACTGCCCTTACTTCTTCCCATCTTCCCATTGAAGAATAGACATTTGCTAGAAGTACATAAGGAGTAGAACTTCTAGGATTCAGGGACAAGAGTTCATCAGCAGCTCTTTTTGCTACAAGAATGTCAGAATAAAATCTACACGAGCTGAGCAGAACCTCCCATATAACAGGATCATCTTTGCATGGCATCCTTCTTATAAGCTTTTCTGCTTCATGCAACCTCCCAGCTCTACCTAAAGTATCAATAACGCAGGTGTAATGACTTACAAGTGGTTCCACTTTATGCTCTATTTGCATTGATTCAAATATTCTGATACCTTCATTAACCAATCCAGAATGGCTGCAAGCTGATAGAACGGCCACAAAGGTTATATCATCAGGTTTTCTCCCTTCTCTTATCATGCAATCATACAGACGCACAGCTTCATCTCCAAAACCACTTTGTGCATACCCATGTATCATTTCATTCCAAATAACAGCATTTTTCATAGGCATTGCATCAAAAATTTCCCGGCCCCTCTCTACGCTACCACATTTACAATACATATCTATAAGAGCACTTCCAACAATTATATCATTTATGCATCCATACTTCAGTATCAGAGCATGAACTTGTCTACCTTGAGATGAAAAGGATTGTTTGGCACAGCAACTCAAAATTGTAGCATAGGTGAACTGGGTAGGGCACATATTCCTTCTTTTCATGATATTAAAGAAACTAAAAGCCTCCTTTTCTAGAGAATTAAGCGAAAATCCAGCTATAATAGAATTCCAGCAAACAATATCCACAGCAGGCAGTCCATGAAAAATAGACTTGGCAATGTCCACTTTACCACTTCTAGAATACAAGGTAATAAGCCCGCTGCCAACATAAACATCATCGTTTAAAGTTGCCTTTAGTGTGACAGCATGGACTTGTTTTCCACATTCCAGAAATGCCATCTCTGCACAAGAGGCAAGAACAGTAGCTAGAGTAGTGCAATCAGGCTTCACATTCCTAAACTGCATCTCCCTAAAAAGCATTATTGCCTCATCATGCTTCTCAACCTGCGAATACCCAGAAAGCATAGCATTCCATGAGCTCAAGCTTGGGCGAACCAGTTTGTCAAATACTTGACGCCCAACTTCGACATTTCCTGATTTTACGCTTGCTGCTATCATATTGATACAAGTAACCTCGTCTGGTTGGCAACCAGAAAACACCATTCTCTCCATTAGCTCCACAGCTTTTTCACACTTGTAAATTTCACCATATCCAGCAATCATGATATTCCAAGAAACAACATTTGGGTTGGACATATTTTGAAAAATGATTTCAGCATTATCCATGTCTCCATTTTTGGCATACATGTCAAGCAGTGAATTAACCAAATGAAAATCATCTTGTAATCCAAGCTTGATAGAAAGACTATGTACTAGTTTCCCATGCATCTTACGCTGTTGACCATCACCTTCTCGTCTAGTACAAACACCAAGAATGCTTGACAATGACACAGCATCTATGCAAGCTTTGGTCTTGTGCATCAACTTAAACACTCCTAATGCCTCTTCAACTCTCCTAGTCTCTTTCAAGCCACCCATTAACGCCGTGAAAGACACTTCATTAGGTGCTGGCAACTCTTCAAAAGCGCGAATTGCATCACCAATACATCTACACTTAGCATACATCGACAGCAAAGCATTACCCACATACAAATTTTGGTCAGCACCAACTTTAATTGCAAGATTATGACACAACCTGCCGAAATTCAGCTGCACCAAAACACCACAAGCACTAAAAACACTTGCCAACGTAAAATGGGTAGGCACTAAACCTTCCAAAACCATCAACTTATACATTTCTAATGCTTTACCATGATCCCCATTTCTTACAAATGCGCTAATCATATTATTCCAAGAAACAACATTTCTCTCAGGCATTTCATCAAACACCTGGCATGCATCCTGCATTCTATTAACTGCACACAATGTACTCAACACAGAATTCCAAGAAAAAATATCTCTTTCAGGCATTACGTCGAACACATTGAGGCCATATCTGGGATTATCACATTTTGAGTAAAAATCGATCAAACGATTCGAGAAGAAGTTCTGAGAAATGAATCCAGTACGAATGATATGAGCATGTAAAAGCTTCCCAGATTTGTGGGATTTATTTTTTATGAAAGATTCTAATAAATTTGCTATGAACTCCCTTCTTTGCCTCCACATTGTTTCAGCCCTTATATGTTAGAACCCTAAAATTCTAAAAATACTCCATTTTTTTTTTCGTTCTTTTCTCCTTCTTGCCAAATTTCTACCTGTTCTATTCAATATCTGGGCAAAACTCTAATCAGAAATTTGAAATTCTGCATTAATACTAGAGTAAGGATTTCCTCCATTGCCTGCACTAACTTGAACGGACCTTGGTAGTACTTTGTTCTATTTTTATTTTTTACCTTATTTATTTGTCCTACTTTAACTAATGTTTGTAATTTATACATTAAAAAAATAATAATCTGCGGATACTTCTTGAAATCGTGTTAATGAATAGATTTTTAATTTTCAATATTAAGAATTTATAGTTATTTATAATTAAAGATATTATTATTGATCAAATACGCATACGTGTCTGAGAGAAATGGAACAAGTATTAATAAAGGGAGTAGTATTAAGAAATGGAGCAAGTATTAATAAAGGGAGTAGTTAAGTAACAGAATTATGTTAACATTTGATGCATTATAATGATGTGGGTATTAACCTTAAAAAAAAAGGTACTTTGGCAACTTAGCCGGTTGTGTTGGGAATCTTGGGATAAATCTCCCCAAATCACAATTACTTTTAGTAGCTTAGTACTAATTTTCCTATAAAAAAAAAGTAGCTTAGTACTAACTAGTTTATTCCAGATTTCCAGGGCGTTGCACGGATTAAAAATATATTATTTGTTTAAAATAATTGTCAATATTTTTAATTCAAAAAGTGTTATAATAATCTCATTAAATAATTTTGAAAGAAATATTGTATTTCTATAGTCTTTAAAAAAAATGTTGATGTCAAAAATAGTTTTGATGGGAAAATTTTTCATAAAAAGTTGACATATGTCTCTTAATGATGTCAGTAATGTTTTGTTTTAGTGATAGTTAATAGATTAAAGATTTGACATGTGTCAAAAATGATGTAAACATGTTCTGTTTAGTACTTCGTATTAGTTAATAGATACTGCAAGTATTTTTTAATTAAGTCTAGATAATAAAAAATAAAAAATAAAAAAAATAATTAAAACTCCATAATAATTATTGACTTATTTGTAATGAAAAGAGAAAAAAGGGGAAAAAATGATATAGAAGAAGATGTTGGTTGAGTCGAAATGTCAATTCGGATGTTCAAATCAGATTCGATCGGGTTGAGTAGTTTAAAACTTGAGTTATGCTAAATCATTGTGTCCATGCAATTTGAAATCTGAATCGATATTTTGTGGGTTGATTTCAGATCGAATTGGTCAGGTGTGATTTAGACACCTCTATTTGAGAGGTTTAGCATAAAATCATAATCGTTTAGAGAGCCTTAAACAATACAAATACAGCTAATACTTTAATAAGCTAAAGCAATTCGTATCCACGCGATGACACAGAGTTTTGTGTATGCTTTTTTGGTTTTGGATTAATCTTCCATGTAGCTTGAATATGAAATAACTAAAGCACTACTCAATTTGAAAATACAATAATGTTAGTTTGAAAGTAACTAAAGCACTAAATTTGAAAGCACTTGGAGTTGGATCTTGCTAACAATAATGTTAATTTGAAAATGCATATCAAAATCACATATATTTTTTAATGTATTTTTCTAATTATAGTCATTTTATCCAACGCTTCTAAGACATTGTTAGCTTTTGCCTTTTTAAGTTATGAGAATTTTTCATAAATTGGTGGTCTAAGTTAACAGCTATTTAATCAAACATTATTTTTCAACTTTACAAGTCAACTTTTAAACTTAATAGTTGTTGCCAAACAGTAACAAAACTCAAGCATACCAAAATAAGGAACAGAAGAGAATGAACTTTTACTATTTTAAGCATTATTTGTCTTAGGGTCAAAAACATAAAAATTACTAAGTCCACTTCCCTCAATTTTATAGGGTTAAGTGGATTAGTGGAATACAAAACTATCGTGTAAATCAAACATGAAAATACTTACTAGGATAATTGTGCTATCTTTTTAGCCAACTACTGTATAAGATTGCTACACATATATAACCTCTGCATTCTTGAGAACCAGTGCTGCTAAATCAATAAAAGAATATAGATACCTATTCCGAAACAGCGTATTTTCCCAAGCTATGATAACCCGTCCATTGGAAGCTAAGCTATGGCTGACCTAATAGTTTCTACTTCAGAGGGACGCCATCTTGTCTTCCGAACACTAAGTAATCCTTCATTGTCTTTTGAGAACGTGAATTTGATCTTCCACTGTAGGGATTTCGCCATGCTCTCCACCTCAGCTATGGTTTCAGCATTGTCTCTTACTATCAAACTTCCTTCTGGCCTTAGAATTCTGTCTACTTCTGCTATAACTCCCTTGAGGTTACACCTGAGCAAAAAAGTTGATCATTATAAATTAAAGCAGATGAAAGTCATGAAACTCACTTTAATATAATGGATCTTAAGCAATATCAGAAGATTGCCAAACCTTTTCTTGAGATCTGAGAAGAGATGATCAGCATGAAGTAGATCATATGTTCTTGGGTAGGTATTGAATGACTCACACCAATTATGATATATACCAAATAAACCTCGTTCATAGATAACCGGCAGGGTGTCTGGTGAGGTGACAGGAACTACATTCATAACCCAAAGTTTCAGGTCCTTCAAAGCTGCAGCAAATCTGGAAGAAAATTGCAAATCAGAGGAAAAAAAAAGGGGGAAAAAAAAAAAAACAGAGTAACTTGCTAACTGCATCCTCATATAGCAGAATAATGCTAACATTCTTAAGTCATAAAACCCAGATGTATATGAACTTAAGGAGAAAACAAAATGCTGAGAGAGAGCAACACTCTCATGTGAATAACAAATTACAATCAAACAATAAGCTTTGTTATACTATTTGATCTAAACATTTTAACCTTTCAATGCATGGTTTTGTAGTCAAATTAATGTTTTTCAAACTTCAACTATTTTCTGATCTCCTGATTATCAACTAATAATTCTTACTCCATATTGCATGCTTCAGGTAAATTATCAGATGCAGAGAACATATGGAGTTTAAAGTAAAGTAACAAAAGCTTACCCTCCATATATAGCTCTCATATCCATCACATTTCTCATCGAAGACCAATCAATGCCAATACCATCCATGTAAGAATCAGCAACAACACGTTTCCAGTGCTTACTGTCAGCAGTGAAATCCTTTGGAGCTGCTTTACCATAAACCCCAGTCTCAGAGTCTTTTAACCAGTAAGGAGTTTTATCCAGCCTTGATGGCCACTTAGCAGGCAACTGAGATCCACGTTCCAATGGATCTGTTGGTACTTTGTGTAAGCATGCCTCCATTGGTATATCCCTGAAAAAAGAAATTTTCGATAATCAGTATCAAATACATCAACTACAAAGGGCCACAGACAAAAAGGATGAAAAAAATACACACACAATCACGCACAGATGTAAAATACCAATTCATTTACCACCATATCCTCCCCACTTCCCACCACCAGGTCCACCACCCTCCTGCAGCAGGGATGTAGCACTAACATGCCCTAACTGGAGGTGAGTGATCATAGAGAATTTGTACCAAGTCTTTATTCATAGCTCAGCAAAAAGTGCTCTCAGTAATAAGAGACACAACAACTGCTAGACACAATTAAACCATCACAGTCTTTGCAGTGAAAATAATGCAATATCTGGTGGTCATAGTAAATCAAGAACGACACCCATCTGTGATTTGGAGACAGTTTACTCCTGTTTTTGAGCACTCACAAGCCGAAAACTGTTTGATATTTTAAGCCCTAGGTTTATGGTTTGAATGTTATTTTGAGACAAATTTTATGTATTAATGTGATTACTTCACTGTGACTAATAAAAATAGAAGTAAAAAATACTTATATTTATCTCTCACACCTTTCCCTGCTCGGTCAAAACAATGCTCTCCATGGGTGGAAGGGCTTACCATAAAATGTTGTCTGTGGGTTCCTCTACCAGTCACAACTCTCAAATGGGGTACAGGAAGCCAATGACTGGAGTCGTTCAGGTTTATTTTACACAAGATACTTTGACATAAGTGGCGTATTTATCATGTGCTCTAACATCTATTTCACATAATCAAAGACAAAGCAAAGATTACCAAGCCGCGTTTGGGTTATCAGATTCTTGACAAAGTGGAGGCTCACTCCTCATTCTACTCTCATAGCAATCATTGGACATAGGTTTGCGATATATTGCTGCAGATACTCCATTTACAGTATCTTTCCCGATTTTCAGAAGCTCCCAGCACATTGACTTAGTTAGCTTGGACATAGCTGAGAATACAGTACACAGAGTTCAAATCAGTTCCATGCCAGTAATTGCAAGACTAATAAAATGACGAAGTAAAAAACTGTTATATAATGCACCTTTCCAAATGGCCACGTTCTCCTCATCTTTACGGTAAACTGGAGTGGCAGACCATACAAAGTAGCTTCCCGGGCGCAAGACACGATTAAGTTCCAAAAGCAGTTTACCACCTATCATGTATATTAACGTTAGATACAAATTTAAATTAAACTTTTAAAAGTTGTAGTTCAGGATGACTTGTAAAACACCTTCTGCATGCCAAGGGACCCTGCAACGTGCACAATGGACGATATCAAAGGCGTTGCTGGGGAAGGGTAATCTCTTTGTACCCATGACAGCAGATATAGCTGGTATTCCTCTTTCAAGTGCAAACTGCACTTGAGCTTCATGTTCGTCTTTGGGAGCCAGTGACAAAGTGAGTACATCTTTGTCAAAAAGAAATCCTCCAAAACTAGCTACACCACATCCTACATCCAAAACAACACGACTTCGCTTCCCCCAGGCAATATCAGGAAGAGTCTGAAAATAAAAGAAAGGTTCAATGAGTTACAATGAAATTCAAAGTGCTAGCAACATCAAGTATGGGTTTTTAAGAAATGGGGTTGATTATTTTTCAACATCGAGAAACGACAACCAAATACATCCCACTAAAAAGTAATATAATGGTAAAGTTTAGAACACATATTGCCATCAATGATTATATAGTAAGTCAGTGACACACAGTATCACAGAAGCATGGGAAACCTACATTGCCAAAATTAAGCAGACCGAGAATAAGATATAGGAGAACAGACGAAGACTTGATCAGATGTGACAAAGAGAAACAATTCAAGTGTTTCCAGCACAAAGCATAAGCAAGGAACAAAGTCAATCTCAAATGTTCTACCACTGGA